GAGAAGCAAGGAGAAAGGAGGATTTCAAGTTCAAGGCTAGCCATGGCTACTTAGCAAGACCCTATCTCAAAAAAATTAAAAAGGGCTGGGGATGTCTCTTAGTGGTAGAGTGCCTCTCCCACCCTAAAAAGTAGAAAAAAGGATATAAGGGATATAAAAGAATATAAAGTTGTTTTTTTTTTTAATATTTATTTTTTGGTTAGTCACAATACCTTTATTTTGTTTATTTATTTTTATGTGGTGTTGAGGATCGAACCCAGGGCCTCGCACAAGCTAGGTGAGCGCTCTATCGCTGAGCCACAACTCCAGCCCAGGATATAAAGTTGTATGAAAACATATTCAATCATATTAAAATATACATAAAGCCCAGAAAGAAACTCACAAAAAATGCTAATGATGGTCGAGAGCAGGACTATTCAAGGCACAGAATCAGGCTGAACTGCCGCTTTTGTAAGTCATGTTCTTCTGGCTCAACCTGAGTTGCTGGTGAAAAGGGCCCAAGGCACACTTGGATTCAAATCTAGCTCCAGTACCTTGCATCATCCAGTGTGCATCACCTCACTTGTGTAACCTTAGATAATTTTTTTTTTTTTTTTTGATTACAGATTGAACCCAGAAGCGCTTAACCACTGAGCCACATTCCAAGCCACCCCCACCCCTTTTTTGTTTGTTTATTTTAAGATAGGGTGAGATAAGGTCTCACTAAATTGCTTAGGGCCTCACTAAATTGCTGAGGCTGACTTTGAACTTGTGACCCTCCTGCCTCAGCCTCCTGAGCTGCCAAGATTCCAGGAGTGTGCCACCACGCCCAGCTTGGACAAATTTACTTAACCTTTCTAGGCCACCTAGTGTACCTCTCGGGATGGTGGCCAAGATGAAATGGAACAAGGAACGTAAGCATCCTGGAACACTCTAGTCCCCGGGCAAACAGTGGCCATGATAGTAAGTAGCATTTCCTTTCTTCTTTGGTTTTCAAACTTCCTATAATTATAATTTTCTTTAAAATTCTAAAGCTAATAAACACAATTATTTGAATTTACAAAAGGTCATGCTCTGTTCCCTGGGGATCTTGAGCCTGTTCCTGGGAATGCAGCTGAAGGCTTTCTTCCAGCCCTGTTGTGACCCACTCAGCCAGAGAAAGACAGTGATCTGAGAATAGGGCTGCATATTTGTGCTCTGAAGGACCCTGGGAGCATTATTTAGAGAGGACATTCTGTCCCAGGCCTAAGCTGCTCTTTCACCCAGCAGCTGCAGACTGGACTAAGCACTCCAGAAAGACTGTCTTAACCCACCCTGGCCCTGAAACCTTGCCTGAGTCCTGATAGCCTGTGGCACAATCCTCTTTCCTCAGGAGCAGCTTTTGGTTTCTGAACACAGAAGCTGAGCTCAACTTTATCATGTCCAGTACCCAGAAATGGGCTATAGCATTTCTGTTTGGGATGAAAAAAATGTTTTGGAAATAAATGATAGTTAAAAAGTATACAGAGGCTGGAGTTGTAGTTCAGCGGTAGATGGCTTGCCTAGCATGTGTGAGGCACTGAGTTTGATCCTCAGCACCTCTGGACTTATTTTTATAAAAATAAATAAATAAAATAAAGATGTTGTGTCTTTCTACAACCAAAAATTTATATATTTTTTAAAAAAGGGTACACATATTAGGGTAGGGAGGGGGAGCATGGGAGGAATAGACGAACTCTAGTTAGGGCAAAGGGGTGGAAGGGGAAGGGAGGGGGCAGGGGGTTAGAAATGATGGTGGAATGTGATGAACATTATTATCCAAAGTACATGTATGAAGACACGATTTGGTGTGAATGTACTTTATATACAACCAAAGATATAAAAAAATGTGCTCTATATGTGTAATATGAATTGTAATACATTCTGCTGTCATATATAAAAGAATCAATAAAAAGGGGGTACAAACTTTCAGTTATAAGATGAGCAATTTCTGGAGCTGGGACTGTGGCTCAGTAGTAAATCGCTCGCCTCACACGTGTGAGACCCTGGGTTCGATCCTCAGCACCACATAAAAATAAATTTTTTTTCTTTTTTTTTTTTTTTAGACAATCTCTTTATTTGTTCTTTTTTTTTTGAGAGAGAGGAGAGAGAGAGAGAGAGAGAGAGAGAGAGAGAGAATTTTCAATATTTATTTTCTAGTTCTCGGCGGACACAACAACTTTGTTTGTATGTGGTGCTGAGGATCAAACCCGGGCCACACGCATGCTACCGCTTGAGCCACATCCCAGCCCAAAAATACATTTTTTTAAAAAAAGGTATTGTGTCCAACTACAACTAAAAAAAAAATAATATAAAAAAAGATGAGCAATTTCTGGGGATGAATGTTCAACCTTGGTGGTGATGGGTATGTTCTTTGTGATAATCATTACACAGTGTATATGTATATTGAATACATAAACATATTGTGAACATTAAATACATACAAAAGTAAACCAAAAAAATCCATAATGAGAAGACTAAAAGAGAGGTTTCATGAAATAACCTGGACTAAACAACACCATGCTAGGAGACCTGGATTTAGGTTTCTGTTCTGCTTCTTATTTGACTTCAGGACCTTGAATAACTTAACTCCTGTAAGCCTCAGCTTTTTCTTCTGCAAAATGGCATAAATCCATGCTGCCCTCCGTGGGTGATCGGGGAGCACTAATAAATCAGATGCTGTCGAACTCTTCTGCAAAACACCCAAGAAGTATCAATTAGGGTTATCTCCCACAGGCCCCAAACAAAAAGAAAGAAGGAAGGAAAGAAACCTATCACAAATACAATACCAGAGTACTCTTTTTTTTTTTTTCTTTTCCTCTATGGATGACTGAAATTCCGCCTTAAGGTTTTTATTCGTGTTACATGGAAACATCCAAAAATAAGGAAAGAAAGAGGGGAAAGGAAGGAGACCTCTCAATCTCTGGCTCCTAACTGGGAATGAGATGCCGTATTTTCTTTGGGTTGGTTCTGGGGGGCTTCCAGGGAGGAGTCAGTGAGAGTCAAGGTGCCAGAGGAGAACATCTCAGCATCATAATTTTGCTCTGGCATTGGACAGAGCACAAATGTCCTTGGCTTGAGCCCTTTTTCTTTCCTGTTCCTCCTCCCTCTGCCTTCCTACCATAGGTTGCCTTTCCCATCCTTCTCCTGGGAGATGTATTTCTGTCTCTTTTTTCATCTAAAGCAGAGGAAATGAATCATCTCTCGGCTTGTTTAGTAAACAGCCTCTTACTCCTGACCCCAGCTGGCTCTCCCAGCACCCTGTGGCTGTCCAGTCAATACCCTCATGGCTGGTTGTTCTTCAGAATGTTTGTCCTCTGGGCCTGGTGGCTTGACCTCCTCTGAGCTGGGGATGATGGGAAATGACACATAGCATTCCAGATGACAATTCCACAAGCTGGCCAGGAGGGCAAGGGAAGCAAGGGAACCACTGTGTTTTGAGAACACTGTGTGTCATCTCAAAGACCCGAATAGGCAGGCAGACCTCAAAATTCTCCTTTTACCAGGTCAGCTATAATATCAGCTTCAGTCCATTCATCAGGATGGAAATCGAGCATCATGTGTATTAAGCCATATGCATGCCATAGATGGATGTTACCAACAAAGGAGATGTCAAGTACACACAGTATGTATTTTACCAGGAAGCAGATGAGTGTCTGAGGATGGTATCAAGAAGAGAAGGCCTGGGACTGGGGATGTGGCTCAAGCGGTAGCGCGCTCGCCTGGCATGCGTGAGGCCCGGGTTCGATCCTCAGCACCACATACCAACAAAGATGTTGTGTC